CTCGATCCGGCAAATGAACAGATCTCAACTAAGTCACTTTAGAGAATGTCGAAACTGCTAGTTTCTCGTTTTGACATTGAATAGTTGCTTATTTTAAGAGGATTTTGGTAGTAATTCAGATCAACTTAAAGTAATACATATCTTAACTATACATGTTATTTTAATACAGTTTAACCATAAATACAGTTTAAGGCAAATTATCAAATGAAAATCAAAAGCAAACACAACTAAACAACATTGTACCACATACATGTGTTAATTTTTGTTTTTTTGTTAATCTATGTTAGGTAATTGTGAAATATGTTGATCTCTATTCTCTGTTGATTTGACTGTTTTGTTCTTTTTATTGAGTGTTAACGCTTTTGCATTGCTGCTGCCAAACATGAAGGGCTTAATATTACCAATTTGAGTCTTCATTAAGATTTTCTGAAACAGGCTAGTCTCAACAAATTTTTTGAGTTTTTATAAATTTCTCAGCAATTCTTCAAAATGCCAATAGGCATATGGGAGTATTCATTGGAACAGATATTCTACTGCAATCTTTTGTCTCCGTCAAAAAATCATGCCATGTTCAAAAGTGACAATGAAGACAATAAATATTATGAATAAAAAAACAGATGGGTCAATCATGAAGTTATGCCATTGACTTCAATTGAGTCAGATAAACAAAGAAATGATTCTCAACTGTACTGAACTACATTTCATCCCATCATTCACATGTAAATCCAAGCATTAAAAAAGCGCAACTTTCAACGAGACCAAATAAAGACAAATCATTTTTTGCTGGAAACAAAACCCACACAATCCATTATCCATAGATCAAGGAATTCCAGCAGCAAGCAGGGGATGATTGAAAAACAAAGAGAAGGTGGAATTACCTGGGATTAGGCGTAAAATCTGAACCGCAAAACCATATCAGGAACGGATTCTAAACAGAGCTTCAAATATTGAAACTCAAATCAAAATATAAAAAATAAAAGATGAAACCCTAAATGACGCGAGGTTCTGGCAAACTGCGTCGTGGGCTTGCCAGCGAGAAATACGATGGTTGGCAATCGGCTCCGACGAGACGATTTCGCGTGCGGAAGAAGAGTGGGGATTCCGGCGGGTCCAACTGTTTTGCCACGTGGAGCGCTGAGAATAAGTTGGCTGTACATAAGAAACTCCGCGAAAAAACGACCTACCAACTGTCACTTTTCTGTTGCTTATGGAAAAACTTTGTGCAGACAACTGGACATGACACGCGTTTACTAGTTTGACTCAAATCAGCGAATCGTTGACTGGACTGACGATGCAGCAAATTGTTGGACAATTTGTTATGTTTCGCACGCCAATTCAATGAAAATTTACTATGGTAATTTGATTTGCACGTCATATTATTGTCCAAAATCTTTTTAAAAATCTTTGTTTTTGCATCTAATCCCGTATTAAAGGATAAAATCTTCATCAATCAGGAATATATTGAAGACCAACCGCAAATTATATGGTGGGATCGGCGCACCGTCCTCACGGTGTACCGATCCCAAAACGATATCGTTTTTTATTAAAAAAATTACAAAACCTCTTTTGCGCTTCGTTCCCACCGCCTTTGTAATTGCGCAGCTGCCTGGAGCAATGAAATAATAGGTCCCTTTACTCTGCCTCTGTGCTTCCTTCACTGCTCAACCTCGTCCGTTCTGCATCTGCAATTGCTTCGCTGCTGCATATGTTGTGCTTAGAAACAATAGGTTTCCTTCCACTCTGGTCAATTTCTGCTCTCCGCTTCAAGAGGGGCGCAGATAAACCAGCATAACAACAAACTCTGATCCCAATCATCTAGTCCATGCGGAGATTCAATACAAATACTTCGTACAATAAGTCATACCTATGACTAATTAAAAATCTGAGGAAAATGCATTCTGGTCTCTTCCACTCAATTATTTTGATTATATTTGGGCTCAAGTTACTTTTGTATGCTTATTTTTTTATTTGGATTCAAGTTACATTTCACATAAACCGAAGTTACATTTCAGTTTGGCTAACATTACATATTGTAACACGAGAGTTACATGTCAACTTTTCTCAGCAAGTTACATCACACTTACATGTGATTTACATTTTACATAACGTGAGTTATACCAGAATATAATACGTGTTACACAATAGCGACAATACAATAAGTCCTTGATATTCAAAGAAAAATCGTTTTGAGAAAAAAAATCATTTTTATAACATTGATAATACACTATTTATGTAACATAATTGAGCAATTGACTCCTTTTTTCCATTATTTACATTACATTGAAATCAATGTTTTACTTTTTATATTCTGTTTTAGACAACTTACACTTCAATTTGACTGAAGTTACATTTCTTTTTAATGTGAGTTACATTTCTTTACACGCGAGTGACATCATTCTGTTACTAGAACAAGAGAAAAATAAAAAACAAAGTACTGTACACGCGTGTACTGTTCACGCGTTTTTTAAATTTGATTAAAACTATGTCGTTTTGGGATGTGGAGCATGGTGCTCACCGTGGGATGATCCCACGGTATACGAACTGAAGACCAACTGAATTGCTAATATAATAGACTAATATATTTAGAAATCTGTCTAATATCTATTTAGTAATACTTTTTATTTTGGCAACTCCTCTATTATAAATATATCTGTCAGGACTCCTATTGGAGTACCTCTTTCCCATTATTTCACACAATAGAGGACATTTTTGTCTTTTCATACGAGGTTGGGGTGCGAAAACAAAGATTTTTAAAAACGGAATGCAAAATCCAATTTAGATAATAATACGGGGGTGCAAACTCAAATCACTCCAAATTCAGATTTACTTTTTGAGTTCCATTTTTCATGATGTTTTTAAATTACTCGATTTCAAAGTTACACAAATTGAATAATGCTGAATAATCGTTATTAAAGCTGAAAAATTGTGATGAAAATAAGTTTTTTTTCGGAAGTATTTATTCATTTCTTTCTACTTTCTTATGCCCCATCGTCCAAACGGATTGTGTGTTATAATTCTACATTTGAAATGATAATGTCAATGAAAATGGTAAATGTAATGACATTGATAATGTAATACGCAGTAGTAATTGTTTAGTAGTAGTGTGATAGTTGTGTTCTTGTCATAATTTTTTTGAGTGGTTCCCTTGTACTCTTTTAGTAGTGCTCACTCGTGACTATTTGTTTCATTCTGGTCTCTTATGTATAAAAAATCAATTCTTAATTGTAATTCTGACATAAATATTACTATAAAGCATGTTATGGTTTAAAAGGGGATTTTTTTGAATTTCAAAAATGTGATTAAACTCCTGAATCTGGAGAATGGAGATTACTAACTATGGGCTTAGGCCCATTCCCACATACTCTAGAATCGGCCCAAATTCATCTAACTACACCCTCGTCTGGGGGCCTCGGCCAAATGAGGACGCACACAGAAAAGAGTAACCAAAACCAAGCAAAAACCACACATAACACTGGATAGTTTACACTTTTATTTCTAATTATATACTTCGTAATTCGTATGTACATATATGATATATTGGTTTACACTTTTATTTTCCTAATTATAGTTTAGTGATAGTTAAAATACAAAAATAATCATCTATATATCTATCATCTAATTATTTCTTATTTTTTTCTTGACTTTCTTTTCCTTTTTCTGTTGTGACATTCTTTTTCCTTGTTGAATTAAAACAAAACATGCAGATAGACTTTGCACATACATATATTAAGATTTTTTTTCCTTTGTAGGTTCCTAAAATGCTTTCAAGAGAAAATTTTACTGTATAGTACATTATTTTGACACTGTTTGACACCAGTTGACACTGTAGAGTCATTATTACTTAATAGTATTAGAGTAAGTTGATACAATTTTGTTTACCAAATAAGAAAAGAGACATTTTTTAGGGACATCCATAAAAAGAAAATAAGAAATTCTTTAAGGAATGGGGGAAGTATTTTAGAAACCAATTGCAACAATGGAAATAAGTCAAATAAGTACTAAAAGGTTAGAACTCTTAAAGCAACACCAGTAGTATATACGCAGCAAATGGAAATAAGTACTAAAAGGTTAGAACTCCTAAAGCAACAATCTAAAAATGAAATGGCATGTTATCAAAAGTGTATGGCATATTGGCATTTAAAAGTGTAAATGTATATAGGTAAAAAGGGGCAAATAAGCCCTCGAACTAACCAACAAAAAGTGCAAATCACCCCTTATATAAGAGGTTCTGTCCGGCCATCGTCATTTGGGGCGGTTGAACCGCCGCGGTTCCCGATGGAATTTTTTGATGAATTTTTTTGAGAATCTTCTTCATTAAGTCTACTTTACCCATACCAAATTTAAGCTAAAAATAAAACCGAGAAGGCAGTCAAATGATTTTCTGAAATATACTATGATGTTTAACTGCGCAGTTATCTTCAAAAATTCATTTGACTGCCTTCTCGATTGAATTTTTATCTGAAATTTGGTATGGGTAAACTAGACTTAATGAAGAAGATGCTCACATAAAAAAGTTTCACTAGGAACCGCCCCAAATGACGACGGCCGGACAGAACCTTGTATATAAGGGGTGATTTGCATTTTTTGTTAGTTCGAGGGCTTATTTTTGCCCCTTTTCCCATGTATATATGAGCTAAGCTTGCACGGGGACCATAGCAGGAGACTAGTTTCAATGTCATCCTCAGATGTCTGATTTCATCTTAATAGAATCATATTTTGTCAACAATCTATTTATAATTTATACTGCATATTGTATTACGATTGAATATTGCAGCGTGTGATATATGAGGTGTTTGGATCTGCTTCTTAAACTGATTATGTTCCTTCAAAGAGAAAAAGCAGTTTTTTTAGAAGCTGAGGGAGACCAGCTTCTGAAAACTGATTCCGATTCTGCTTCTGCTTTTAAAAAAGAAGAAGCAGAATCAATTCCAAACACCCCAATAATCCAATATCCACCCTCAAATTGCTTGGTCAATCTTCGACAAGAACATGTGACTTCCCTCATTAATTCATTTTCTCCCAGGACTGCAGAGAAAGAAAAGAAACACTAGTTTTGCTCTGCTTCATCTTTTGATTTAAAAAAATCTCTGAAGCAAAGAACCTATTAATTCAAAATACAAAATATTCTAGTCAAAAGCCTATGGGAACATCCACTTGTGATGCACTACTATACCTATTGAATTACAAACAAAATGAAGCAAAATCTATTCTATACCCACCCTATAGAAAAAAGAAGTGTTTATTATAAAACTACAAACAATACTACAAGCAAGACTCTTTACTACCAGACGGCTGAAGTTCATCAAAAAAGAATATCTCCACCAAAATTTTGTTTGGTTAGCTGCAGAGGCTGACAGCCTGAAGTAATTACATTGTGCCCTGGTTGCACAAAGAAGCGCCACCATCACAAATAAGAATTAATAATCTGGTGGTGCAAAGGTACCAGGTAAAGACTGTGTTCTGCTCTTCATTGTTTCATTTTGATTCATCAATTATAGGACTTGAGATGAAATATTTGGCAAGTTGGATGATATGATCTTTTCACTGCAGCTTGCTCAAACTTCTTACTGGCAGCATCATTTTGCTCTAAACTTGTCTCAATAAAATACCGGATCCACCAAGTAGAGCTGCGTAGTTTTGCCTGCAAAATAAGTCAGCGTCAAATTATTAACTTTTGTGTTATTTCTCCCCTAATGCGTGGAAATGCAAGAAGCTATATTCTAAACTTTTTTGGGTTGGGAGGGGGGACATCTACTCAAAACCCTAAACATGGGTGCCTATTCGCCGTACTAGTATGACTAGAAAAAAGAAGTCTATATCCCCAGTAACCCAGAGATGGTTCTCAAAATGAGACCAAAATGCAGAAGTAGCTGTTGACGGTTCTCTTGACCCTATAGTTTAGATATATGTTGTATGAGCGTCAGCTCAATCAGAACCTACTTTATTGTTTGCTTAGTTTTATTACTGTCCTTATCATGTTGGTCTATAACTTTATGCTTTTTACGCCTTCTATCATTTGCCTTCATTTCACATAAAATTTTATCTCAATGTACATACTACATTTCACCTTTGGATATCTTTTTTTCTACCTCAAAATTTTCTGCTCTTTTGACCCAATCCACCTTCTCTCTTTTTTCTCTTTCTCTCTCGTTTTCTTTTATCGTTTATCTTCTTTATATTTCTATGTTCTTATGTTATTTTTATCTTTTATCTTTTTTATGCTCTTTCATCATGTTATCTTTTATCTTTCTTATGTTTTTATGTTATTTTGATCTTATATTTATCTTTATTTTATCCACTTTATCTTACTTTATCTTTTTATTCTTCTTATCTTTCTTCTCTTTTTGGCTTTGATATCATGTATCGGTTCATGTTAGCTGACCCCAAAATCTATTAAGGCTTGACTGTTGTTGTTGATGCACCAAACAAGTATTAAGTATTTAAGTACATAGTGAACAATGATAATGTGGTTTGCATGAATATTTAAACAAGGCACTTACTGAATGACCAAATTTTGCCTTATCTCCCGTCTTGGGTTTTTTATTGTGTGGATAACCTATAAAAAAACATTTAAAACAATGAATACAACGAATGTAATGAAATGCTGGCACTCTTGGAGAGATATGCTTTAATTGTATGTGTTTTACTGCAAATTTTAAGTCGCAAAGATCATTTTAAAACACATGAAGCTTGACTATAAGAAGGCTGAAACTTGACATTAATTAAAAAATCATCTCTATCGATTGAAATATTACAAGGCTATCTGGAAAAAAGAAGAATAGACAACACCTTACAAGGGGAAATGCATTTATTTATATAAAAAAAGCTATTTAATCTTATTTAAAATTAAGATTGAACCCATTTTATTTATAAAAAAAAAGCTCAAGAACTATCTAAAAAGGTCTGAAAGTGAACGACCCTCCACCGAACCTCAGCAAATTACCAGCTCATCATAATCGTCACCACCTTAATTGTCTAAATGTAGTTACGACTATATATATTCATACAAAAAGAACATAGTTGTGAGATTTTACACCGTATACCCCTTCCAACGGGTTAAATGCATAAATGGTATCTCAACTATTGGTAATGTTGCATTTTGGTACCTTAACTCTTAAATGAATCAAAACGGTACCTTAATTATACATAAAGGTTTCGAATTGAGATTTTATTCAAATTTCAGACCAAAAAATTACATGTGACGGTCAGAATTCTATGCATAAAGTCTACTTCACCTTATTTTTGTCCATATGATCACTATAGGGTGACTACGCATGAAATTTTGATCGTCATGAAGGACTTTTTTGTTAAAAATTTGAATAAAATCTCAATTTGAAACATTTATGTATGGTTAAGGTACCGTTTTGATTCATTTAAGAGTTAAGGTACCAAAATGCAACATTACCAATAGTTAAGGTACCATTTATGCATTTGACCCCCCCCCCCCCCCTCCAACCTTGTTCTAGATGAATAAAGATATAAAATTCCCAAACCATCATCATCAAAGACTACTCTCCACTTGCAATGGAAATATCATGAGATGGCTATGAGTTAAGTTAGTTGTTATGGTATATTACATTACGAAATTGATCAACATGCACACCATGGAACATTGACCTAGCAAATCAACAATTGTGGTTGGGAAATCAACCCAATATAATTTGTAGTAATATAGCAAACACTCTTCTTACCAGTGAAGAGAACAAGGCCATTTGAAGATACCCTAGCCATTTCAGGAAGTGTTCTGTTGAGGTACTTAGGTGACAAGTAGTCCAATGCATCAGACACAATCACAAGATGAAATGACTTTGCCCGGTATGGAAGAGGAAACTTAATATCAGCCACTCGTACAATGCCCTTTTTCACAAGTCTCTTGCATTGAATATCAGCATCCTCAATATCATAGGGCTCCACACCCCAAGCTTCAGTGTCCTCCTCTGTTAATAGTTTGGAAATAACTGAGCAAGTGTCAGGGCCAACGTGCAACACTTTATGCATGCTGTCACCATATGCCTTTTTCAGATAAGGAATTGCTCTTTGAACATCACTATTGCAAGAAAAGTCAGCTGCATCAATGAAACAGGTTAAAGATATCTTCTTCTAATCTGTCTATGCACATAAACACATTTTTTTTGAAAGAAACTTAAAAACAAAAATGCAACAACTTCATCTGAAAGATATATACTCTGCATATTATAAATTTTATTTATGACAAAGAGCAGGACAAGTTTAGGTTGCCATTTGGTAACTACTATTTTTGTTTATCACAAATGTTTTTTGGCAAACAATGCTTTATTTGCATGAAGTAGCTAAATTGGATTATAATAGTAATAAATATGATAAAAATACCAATATGTCATTAATGATGATGATGACGACAACGATGATGATGATGATAATATTAAGTAATGTGTGTGCCTTTTGGGTGAAATAGTTTAAATGAAGATAAATGATGCTACTTATTTTTAGATATGAGTTATTGTAATAAAAAAAATGAAATAGACTCACAGCCCATTCTCCACTTCAACCAAATAACCCCTGGTAAACAGGCTCTAAGATATGCTTATCTCACTCAATAATGAAGTGAAACGTTCCGTCATTAAAGGATAGGTGACCTGATAGCATGCATTTTGCATGTTATCAAACTTTAGTTTCATTTTAAAGAGAAAATTAGCTCCCATCTCAATTTCATACGGAAAACATTCCAAACAAGCAAACATCACTGAGGAAATTCAAATTAGACTCAACAATACGCAAGTGAGTCAGTCCAACAGCTCCTCATAAGCACGTCCTCTAAATTAAAAGTAGGTAAACAAATAATTCAAACAGGGAAGTAAACTAAAATGCCAGGATACTATGTCAAGTTTTTAATGAGGCCCAGGCTTGTAGGGGAGTTGTAGACACAATAGTAAAACAATATGCAACAAGGTTAGTCAATTGATTAACATCACTAAGTAAGTAAACTCCAGATTGGAGAAAAGCCTAATAGTATCAATATCAGAGAACAACTATCTTTTAACGTAAAAATAATACATAACACTAACAAAAATCCCTAAAAAAAATAGGACACTAAGAATTAATAAAATTTACCTTCAACTCTGCCGAGACCTCGTATATCACCACCTATTAAGCAAACATAATTGCTTGGTCAGCGCAAGAGAGATCAAAACCAAAAAATATACTGGTGAATGAATATTATGATAGACTGATACAAAATACAAACATTACTGGACGAGAATTCCAATTTCATTAATAAAGCGATGGCAAAAGTTGAAAATGTAGGTCAGCATGCATGGTACTTTACTGCATTGAGGATTGAAATATATAGCAATACAGATTCAGAACCATTTATAAACAGTTTCAATACATGTTATTTATTAGCAAACAATGTCATTGTGATATTTAGGATATATATTCATTCAGTGAGATGGGAGAACTGTGTTGCTTTTCACATTACAGTGCAGACAGCTATTAAGAAATTAAACATAGTAACCATATATGTGTATCCATACAATGTATTAGAATCTTAAATGTAGCTGCTCTCCAGTAATTGGAGATAGGACAAATACAAACCTGAGTCACGACGGTAATATCCTATAACAAGAAATACTCCCTGGAAATTGAAAAGGAATGAAATGGTGAATCAATAGCAGTGCAACATATTGGTAATTAGTAATGGAATTTAAAAATATTATACTTCATGCATAACAAAAAATTTGGTATAATCCATGTTTGTGAATCAGTAGAACCCAAAGTTACAGGTAATGGAACTAAACAATCTAGAGGAAAGTACCACAACAATGAGCCCAATTGACAAATAAGGTGGAGAAAATGTCTTAGAGCGAACAGATGCTCCCAGTGAAGCAGCTCCTCCAGCTGCAGCACGCCGTGATGGATTGATTGGCCTCCTTGACATTGCTATAAGTTTCCACCTGATCAAAATACAACTCACTAGTTAGCATAGAGTAACCTATGAATAGTGACAAGTCTATTGTATAGCAATCAATGATTAAAATTAATTTGGTAATATCCCGTTTTGAGCAAACACCCAAAGTTACAAACATGGTTAAAGGACTCTTGAGGTACACTCATTCAATCATTACACGCACTATATAAATTATGGAGTACCAAATGAACAAAAAAGATGAAGGAGGAACAACCATCTGGCCTAATCTGGCCATTCTCCCATGATCAAGGAGGCAAACATGTCACATTGACACTCTTATGGATAAAGAACATAATAGTCCCAACTCCCAAGAATGTGATTTTTCAAAAAATAAATGAAGCGATTGATAAATGATAATCCAATCTCTTACTACTAGAAGGTCTGGATACCTCTTAAAACTCCAGAGTTACCTCTAACAGCATTCAAATCCCCAAGAAAGCGAATGACAGACATATGCAATAAAAAAATATGCTAACCATTAAAATAAACCAATCAAATATGCAAAGAAAAGTGCATATTCGCATCCATAGGGAATTGCTCAGAACAAAACAGATTCGATTTTTTGTCACTTCCTGGCGGATTGCGAACGTAGCTACCATATTTCATGAGATTATCCTTACCCGATAAGAGATAACCCGATTCAAGATCCGGATTTTCAATACTGGGTCCTCACTGTTTAGGGAATCGTTGGATCGGTGCCTTGAGTGGTCCTCATCTAGCATTTTTATATCAGAGGAAAGCTGGTAACTTGTCAGTAATTTGGAGTGTCGGCGACTCAATCGTCCTGGGAACACCCGCTATTTTACATAGCCGCGTGAATATAAGTCGTTGACAGGCTATGTAAAATGGAAAATTCCCTTGTACTTGTACACAACACTTTTTAGACGTAGATCATTTTACGCACAATTTGATCGGCGTTTTATGAAAACAACCAATTTTCACATAGACAAAATTAAAAGTTTGTTCATATCACAAACATTTTAAAATTCTTATTTAAAATTGTTTGTAACACAGACATTTTATGAAAAAATCTTGTCTGAAATATATGTGATACAGACAACTTTCTATTTTTGTCTGTGTGAAAATCAATTTTCTTCATAAAACCCCAGTCAAATTGTCTGTGTACATAGACAATTTGACCGGCGTGTAACTGGACGTTTACATGAAGCGGGACTCATGTAAAATAACCATTCTTTCTTCTTGGTGTATACATAATTTGTACATGCGCACATTTTCCTTTTTTTTTTTTTGGATGAAATGTAAATATATATTAACACCCAAGAAAATATACATCATAAGGTATAGGTCTAGATCGCCTAAAACCTCCCCCACTCCTACATAGTGTAGGGGTTATGAGAGGTTTTTAATTGATCTATGTCTAATTCATGAAGCAAAAACAAGGCCTAAGTATACAATACTAAATGCCTCAAAAACTCAAAAACGTAATGGTGCTGCTAGTATGCTCGCACACATCTCAAAAACACAAAATGTGACCAAGAGTAGCCATGAGGTCATGGTTGATAATCTTCAAAAACCGTAGGTTATGCCGCGGCATGCCATCTTATGCTTTGCATACCCGATCTTCAGAATCTAATAAGGTCGTATGGGTATAGTGAGTAAATTATCTTGTAGACGACTTGCTTGATCTTCGCAATAATGTCTTCTTCCTTCATCAGGCCTCCGTCAAATCTACTAGCGTTTCTGGCCCGCCATGTGTAATAGACCGTAGCACAAAAAGCCAGTCTCACCGCCTTCGCCTTGAGCCTCGAGCCTTTATGCTCTTTTGAGATCCACTTTATCGAACTGAGGAGCGTGGTCATTTGGCGATTAATTCCCATCCATTCTTTGATTTGGTTCCAAACTCTGCAAGAAAATTGGCAATGGAAGAATAGGTGTGGAATTGTTTCCAATCCACCCTTGCATAGGTCACATCTGTTTACAATATGTAAATAACCGAGGTTGTCCTGGGTCGGGAGCCGGTTTCGTAAAGCCAACCATACATTGAAAGAGAATTTTGGAGGGATATAGGACTTCCAAATGAAGCTCATTGTAGTCCTAGTGTCGCCTTTTACCCTCAGGAGTTCATACACCTTCCCGGAGATTAGTTTCCCATTTATAGCCCTTGTGTTTAGGCCCATTAGGGTGTCGTTTAAGTTATTGAAACATCCCATAAGTTTATCCCTGATCAGGCCTAATCTCTTCATGAGTTGGGAATCCCGGTTGTGTGGGATGAAATCCCACACATTTCTGCCGTTAAGGTAGACCCCGTTTACCCATTTGACCCATAGGGTATCCTTTTTATTATGCACATCCCAGATTAGGCGAGAGAGGAGCGCATGGTTCCATGTTTTGGCATTATGTAAACCGAGGCCTCCTTCGGCTTTTGGTAAACATATGTCATCCCATGCAACTTTAGCATGTTTCCCACCCCATAAAAAAAATTCTGCAAATGGAAACAATCCTATCCAAAATGGTTTGGGGGACCGGAAAGATTTGGAGCCAAAACGATTGCACTCCTTGGATGACAGATCGAATTAACTCAACCTTCCCAGCATAGGATATAGTTTTTGTATTCCACGCATTTAAAAAATCCTGGACCATCGCAATTAGAGGTGCGTATTGTGCCACCGAAATTTTCAAAGGGGCAAGGGGAATTCCAAGGTACCTAACCGGGAATGTGCCTTGCCCAAAGTCGACTAGGTCTAGGATATTTTGTAATTCCAAATCCCTCACCCCACCAACAAAGATGTTCGACTTCTCATGATTTACCCTAAGGCCGGATGCATCTCCAAATTCTTTGAGAGCATCGACTAATATTCTTATGGAATATGAGTCACCTCTCGAGAAGAGCATTAGGTCATCTGCATAGGCTAGGTGTGTAATGCGTAGAGATGCACATTGCGGGTGGAAATTGAAATCCCCCTGGTTTGTTTTCATCGTGAGTAGTCGCGAGAAATACTCAAGGCAAAGGACAAAGAGTAGGGGGGACATTGGATCCCCTTGGCGTATGCCGCGCTTTGCCTTGAAAAATCCATATAAAGAGCCATTAAGAGATATCGAGAAAGATGCGTTTGAGACGCACTCCATAATCCATTCTACGAATCTAGCTGGGAAGCCCATTCCCAATAAAACATTACGGAGAAAATCCCACGATATGGTATCATAGGCCTTTCGCAAATCCACCATGATCATACATCTAGGTGAGATTCGCTTCCTATTGTATCCTCTAACAAGTTCCTGGGCAAGGAAAATGTTATCAACCATTAGGCGGCCGTCAACAAACGCACCTTGTGCTTTGTTTATCAAACCCGGGAGGGTGGGGATAATTCTAGCCGCAATGATCTTCGTAATTATTTTATAAAGTACATTCACACAAGAGATTGGTCTATAGTCCGAGACCTTAGGGGAGTGATTGGTCTTGGGGATCAATGCTATGACAGTGTGATTTAACTGTTTGAGCATTTTTCCAGAGTCAAAAAACTCTTTGGTCGCCCGAGTCACCTCCTCCCCCACAATACTCCAGTTCTTTTTTAAAAACGCCGAGGAATAACCGTCCGGCCCCGGCGCCTTATCATCCCCAATATCAAACAAAGCATCTTTAATTTCTTTGTCTGAAATTGGTGATAAAAGGCTATCATGAGCAACCTGTTCAAGTTTGGGGCCGGTCCCTAGCACCGAATGGTCAACGGGAAAGGTTTCCATCTCGGTTCCAAATAAATCAACAAAAAACTTTACAAATTCATTTCCAACTTGGTCAGTAGATGTTGTGAGGTTGCCATCGCTCAGAGAAATGGAGGTTATGGTGTTCTTGACCTTGTTCCTGTTGACAATAGCATGAAAGTACTTTGTACCCTTGTCCGCTTCGAGGATATGCATGGCTTTGGCCCGTTGCTGGAAAAAGCTGCATTCGGCCTCACAAAGGAAAGTGGCACGTTTCCTTGCCACACACACTTGCTCCTTTAGTTCCTCATTATTCGGTGAGATGAGTAGCAACCTGTTTAGTCTTTTAAATTCTTGTTTAGCATTTTTGGCTTTTGTAGAAATATTGCCAAATTCCAATTTGTTAAGATTCTTAAGAGGCTGCTTTAGCAACTTAAGTTTCTTAGCAATTTGGAATTGTGCTGAACCATGAAAATTTGTATTCCAAACCTGCGTAAGAATGTTAGAGAAATCCAGGTGCTTCATCCACATGTTAAAAAATTTAAACGATTTTGGCCTAGATGAGGTATTAGCAAGTATTGATATTACGGAGGCCGTATGATCAAACTCAACCTCCATTTCTGCGAAATGGGCCTTACATTGAATTCCCAAATGGGACCAAGTCTCATTTAAGAGGACCCTGTCCAATTTTGCCCAGCGGGTTCCTCTATTCCATGTAAAGAATTCACCCGTGGATTGGGCATCTTGGAGATTAACTCGCATTTTAAAATCAAGTAAATCTTTAAGAAAATAGTTTGCCGGGACAGCCGAGCCCAGCCTCTCATTTGGGGAGCAAACACAGTTGAAATCACCCGCAATTATCCAGGGGTCCTTAATTTGGTCCCCCAGTAACGCAAGGTGTTCCCACAAAGCCTGACGTCTCAAAACCGTGTAGAGTGCATAGATGAATGTGGCATAAAAGATGGTTTGAGATGTACGGCAAATGCATTTGAAATGCATATGTTGCTCCCCTTTTTCAATCAATGTGCATGATACTAAATCGGGGTTCCAAAATACTAATATTCGGCCCCCCTCAATAATTTCGTGGTTAGTGTCAAAAAACCATCCCGGCCATTTATTAGAAACATAGTTAGAAATATTAATTTTTGACATTTTAGTTTCTAAAAAACAACACAAACTCACGTTATTTGCTTTAACAAAACTCGATAAAATAGGGTGTTTAGAGGGTTTTTTCAAACCTCTTACATTCCACGAAATAGCCTTAATCATCGGTTTTGCTTGAGTTGGAGGTGTGGTCATCCTCGGCCTCCTCCATTTGTGCCTTCATTTTT